TCCTGCCCCTCTCTCACCCCTCTCTCACCCCTCTCTCACCCCTCTCTCACCCCTCTCTCAGCCCTCTCTCACCCCTCTCCCGCCTCTCTCTTGCCTTTCTCTATCCTTGCTCTGTGACTGCTCCCTACCCTGTTGTTCTCGAGTCACTTTCTGCTGCCACTGTCCTTTGCTCCTGCGAGCTGTACTTTCTCATCGATGTCCTTTCCCCCCTTTCTCTATGCATGACTTTTTTTGTGTGTTTCTCACCGTATTTGCTTGCACGTTTTAAAGTATTTGATTTATTGTTTAACCAGATTGTCGTGCTAGTATCATTCTCCATCAACTTCCTGCAATAAGGGCTGCACATATTGCCACAGTTGATGAGAAGAGGGTGCGCATCACTATTGAGGAGGCCCGAAATAGCTTTCTTTTGTACGTCAAGGTAAAGCAAGTAATCTTCAATTCTACCACTTTGCCTTTAGTGACGGTTTAATGTCCATTAACCTTGTCTTTCATTTTGTTCTAGACTTCAGGTGATGTACGGACCGAGATCGCAAAGAGGCGAGACGGTCTGAAGGGTGATCACGGTGGGGGACAGCCTCTGATTGTTCTGGTTGGACCCGGAGAGGACGACATCAACTCATCATATGTGTCGGTCGCTACTCTGCTGTACAAAGTGGATGGTGTCATCGAGGCCCTAGACCTTTTTCTGAAGTCACTCTTCGCCCTTCACATTCCATACCCACCGGAGTGCAGTCACATTTGTGTTATGCTTCAGCGTGCCATCTATGGAATTGAATGTGATAATGACGATAAGTTCTCAATTCCGTACAGTTGGATTAGCCAGTATGACCAACTGTCATTTCAGATTTTTTGTTTGTTGTTTTTGTTGTTGTATGAATTAGTTTTGATTTTGATTGTTAAAATTTCGTTGTAGCTTTACAATGCTTTTGTGTCCACTTTGTGATGTGGGCCATTTTGAAAACATAAGAAATCTATCTGCGCACATGAGATTTTATCATGGAGATCTCTATATAAGTTTAGTCTGTCGGCAAATAGGCTGTGGTAAGAGGTTAAGCAACTGGTCCAATTTCAAAAGGCACGTACAGACTCACATTGTAATTGATGAGAATGTTGGTGATGGTAATGATTTGGCTGAGCCCGACGACCTTGGTCACGATGATAATGGTGTAAATTTTGAAAATAACATTATTGACAATTTGCCACTGAATGAGGCTGGACCTGACTTAGGATTACCTAATGACATTGGTGTGGACGATAATAGAAATGAAGCTGATGCTCCGTTTGATCGATTCTCTCTCGAGAGTTTTGTTAATTGTATTTATAGTAATATATACCGTTACGGTACGTAACGTGCTACGAATTTTCTTTAATATATAACAGGAGCATCAGCCAAGGAACGACTATGAAAAACTTCTCAAACTATGTATTCTTTTCTGTGGAGGGACTCTCCCGAAGGGAAGTGTCAATGCGCCAGGCGCACTGAGTGACGCCAGATGGATGGCTAGGGCTTCGTATTGCCTCCTATTGTACCTATTTGAGGGTGAGTCACCGGAGATTTCTCGACCCCTTTGTGACTTTAATCAAATTGTCCATGCCACCTGCTATTTTTTTTCTCTTCTTATTTTTAGGACAATTCAGTCTGACTCGTTATGAGAAGACTGGCGTCGAGCGAGTGTGCCTGTTTGTTGTGAAAATTTACATTCACCACTGGTTTACGTGCCAAATAGCGCGCTGGGCCCCCCGCAACGACTTGGAGCTGTTAGGGTCACTGCGGGCATATGCAGAGTTCGATCCACAGGTCGCGGACAAGGGGCTCAAAGCAGTGGGCCGACACCTCTGGTACTTAAGTGAAGAGATCGTTGGGCTTGCCTTTTTTGATGAAATCGTATCCGCTGATACCAAAATAAAAATGGTCCATTCAATGAAGGTGCGAATTATCGTCAAATAATAAATTTAATTGTGATATTTATCGCTGCTCGGTTCAGTCTTAATATACCATTTTTATTTGCAGACGAATAAGGGGAGCAATATTCCGCCCCATCGGCTGTCTGTGACGGGATCAGCTTTAAAGGCCCTTGCCTACCGGGGCCTAGAAGACTTAGTTACAACCTCTACAATGAACTTTTTCAAAAAGGCAAAACTTCCCACTGACTTCCTGGAAAAGCCCCCCTTGGAGTGGGAAAGTGACCCAAGTTACAAGGAATGCCTTGCAGTAGTGCGTAATTTAAAAGTGGTCAATGACACTGCGGAAAGGGGAGTAGGTTTAATTAAGGAGTATACTGCTGCTGGTCTAACTAAAGATGAGGAGCAGCTTCAATCAATTTTGAAAATTGTGAAAAATCACCGAGCTTGTTACCCAAAACTAACCAAAAGTGAGCTAGTCTAAAGTTGATAAATAGCCAAAGACACAAAAGTTTTAAAATTGTGACTCATAGTGCTCCATACTAAAAGTACTAGTAAATAAATATTTTTTTTCGTTTAATTTGTTGATTTTTTGCATGTTTACCAGGAAAGTGTTCCGAGGGGGGAAAGGAAACGGTGTGTAGAAGGGTCAGTGACGACTGCTGACACTCCCGAGATGTCGAAGGCGTCGATACCCCACGTCCAAGGTCCTCCATAGCGGCGGGTAGGCGCGCCGGACCGGCGCAAACCCCGTTTTTGGGCGTTAAAAGCGGTTTATTGGCTTGAGCGACCCCTAAATTCTATCCGATTTTGAAAATTTTGGTGTCATTCGACTCGTACGGAGGTCGGTTCAAAAGTTACAGGGTGGCCCGTGAACATTTCAAAACTTGCCCTCCCTTGGGACACACTAACCATCGCCGCCGGCAGGCGAAGCAGGCCCGGCCCCTGCCGAACGGAGTTGCCGGCGCAGCGAAGTGGAGCTGGCAACTCCGTTTGGCGGAAGGGCGGGCCTGTTTTTAAAGTACCATAGTTGTCTTGCAGGTTACTTGTGCCGG